AACATGTCAATATGGAATTGACATGAATTGATATCATTGTCTAAAAAGAAGGCTAAATTTTTTTCGGAAATTTGTAGGGCTGTTTTTTTGAAAATGAGGGAGAACGCCGATTTTATTTTACGGATTCGTAATCTACACGTCAAAATACGTAATTGAACTCTTCTTTTTTTTTCAAAATCGGAGGGTTGCAGCCTATCCGAAATTTGACATGAATATAATCTATAGCGATTCAAAACCACCCTGAATCACCTCTTCCTCACCGACACCACTCATAGTGCTTGTGTATTCCAATAATAATCTAATCATCTAAAGATATCTCTTTATTTCCACTGCGTCCATTTCCAGGAGCTGTATTTAGACAGAAACCGATTCAATGCAGTGCCGAGTACATCATTGAACGGACCAAAGGCACTGAGGAAGTTATCATTAGTAAACAATCGAATAGGTGAGGTGAATACCGTAATTAGATCGATTTTATTGATTTCATTTTGTTTCAGATACCATCCAATCACAAGCTTTCAAATCTCAAGAATATTTGGAGTACATAGATTTAAGCAATAATTTCATATCCCTCATTGAGAGCAGTGCGTTTTCGCCTCTGCAAAAGTTGAAATTTTTGAAATTGGCTCATAACAGACTGGCCAGGTTCAATAGCGACGTTTTTCAAGGAAGTGATAATCTTATACTACTCGACCTCTCGGAAAACTTCATTAGTGAATTTCCGAGCGTTGCGTTGAAGGCCTTCACTAACTTGAGATACCTAAATTTGTCATCTAATTTAATACAGGTGAGTACTTCAACAAATTTGCATTTAATTAGTACGAACTTCTATTGTCTAATATGATATAAAATAATTTGAAATACCTGAAAGAATCAACAAAATTGAAAACATTAGCTAAATTTATACTGAGTATAAAAACCGAAATTGCAATGAAATAAAATACAAGCAACAATTGAAACTTGAACAATCAACAAGAAATAAAAATTGAAATTAAAAGATTGCAAGCCAAGTTACTTCCCGACGTTTCGATTGTTAGTGTCCACAATCGTCTTCGAGTGACGACTGGATTTATTTCTCTGAGAGCTAACTATTTATAGGTCATTCGAGGGCATTCACCTAGCTCCTCTTCCCTCTCCCGCTTCATCGGTTTTAGCGGGAGCTGACCATTTGGCGGGAGTTGACTGTTTTCCGCTTGATTATAGGTTTCCATAAGTTGCATATATCTACGCTAGCTTGGCTAAATACATTGTTGGATAACATGCATGCGGTTTCTGTGAATTTTCTCCTCGATCAGAGTTCCTTCTTGTACATGATTTTAGCTTGAGACCACTTGACGTTATGTTGATGAGTCCAAAAGTGCTCTGCTATTTCTGATTTGCTGGTTTCTCGTCGCGTTTCTTGTGCTCAGCAATGCGAACTTTTAATGACCTTGCACTCGTAAATGTAATTATTGGAATCACAGTCCTCGTTTGGTGGTCTCGTAATCGTAAGACTGCTACGGATAGTTTTCCCAGATCTGAAGCAGGTTCTGATGTTACCTATACTTGGACCCAATTCTTCTCATCCTTTCCGACAATCCTCTGATATAGGGAAGTACAAGTACTGGTTCTGACGGCTTCTCTTCTATTTGAGGCTTCTGCTGTCTTCTAGCCAAAGTCTGTTCTACCATCACTTTGGAGTAACCATTCCATTGAAAGTCATTTTTGATGATGCCTAGTTCCTTCTCGAGACCTTCCTTCGCATTAGAGAGCCCAAAAGCATTGTCTACTAGAGTCTCGATGATTGCTCTCTTAGAACTAGACACCTTGAAGCACATCAAAAACGTGGAGAAGGAAGTCCACAACGAATTGCCATTCTTAGACGTATTGGTGAAGAGGACCGATACTAAATGAGAAACATCTGTATATCGACAACCTGCTCATACGGGACAGTATCGGAACTAGGAATCCAACCACCATCAATCGACTTAGAGAGGAATCATCAACACTCTAGTAGACCGTGCTCTGCAATACGATGGAGGGTTCGAGAAGGAACTAGGCACTAGGGTCCAAGTATAACATCAGAATCTGCTTCAGATCTAGAGATACTATCCGTAGCAACCTCCAAAAACTAGGCCACCAAACGCGGACCGCGTTTCCAAGAATTGTATTTACCGGATACCATGGGATAGTCAGCTCTCGGAGGAATAAGTCCAGTCATCACCCGAAAACGATTGTGGATACTAACAATCGAAACATCGTGAAGTAACTTGGCTTGAAATCTTTTTAATTTTACTTTTCATTTCTTGTTAATTGTTCAAATTTCATTTCTTGCTTGTATTTTATATCATTGCAATTTCGGTTTTTTTGCTTATAATGCAATATAATTGTTAAATTGATGGATGTAGCCGTTACTACGTGCATGGTAGGAAATCATAATGAAGAAAAGAGAAATGAAACTTTCTATATTACGAAAGTCCCCAAGGCGGTCGGTTGCAGTTGGGGAGCCTCATTTACCCGTTGATTGAGTTCCTTGTTAATCCCATGACGACTTCGTCAGGATGGAGGTCATCGCCCTTACTTAGGCTTGTCCTTCAAAGGCAGTTAAGTCCAGCAATATTTGTGGTTCAGCCTAGCATCACCGATGGAACAGCGCAGTTTGGTATTGGATCATGAGAGTGTTGTGTTTGGGCTCTAGTTTTTAACCAATAACTAAGTCATGAATTTGGTGATTGTATATGATTTTCCTTTCAGAATTTGGACAACACACATCTTTCCTCCCTTCAAAGTCTTTATCAACTTGACCTGGGCAGAAATAACTTGGCAAATATAGTACCTGGAACCTTCTTGGGACTTAAACAATTGACTAAACTGGATATAAGTGTGAATTCATTGAGAACAGTAAGTAACTTTCAACGTGTATGTAGTGCTGAAATTAAAAAAATGTTTTCACTCTCAACTTCCATTCAGCTGTTTATGCAACAGGGTTTTTCCGGAAATTCAAGAATTGAAATCTTTATTTTTTTTGGAAAGAAATTTTTTGGCTTTCTACTACTCCATCTTGATACAAAAAATGTGGGAATCTTCCAAAGAAAGTAAGGAAGTAATCAATTTGAAAGTAAGTAACTCATGGATGTGTAGATCATGAAAAAAAGCAACATTCAAACACAAACTGGAAGAAAGCCCTCCTGAAACAGCTACCTTCATATAAACATTGAATTACACGAAAGAGAAATTCTTTTCGAAACAAATACTTTTATATGAACACTGATTTATAAAGAAGATACTTTTCTCTACTCAGTTTGTATTACAAACATTCGTTATGGAATAAAATCAGATATCATTCACAGGAGTTCTACATTAAATGAATGGTAACAAATTGCACTTACTTGGAACACTGTCATCCTCACTGGTAGACATCGATGTTTCTCCGTAAGACACCTGTCTTAGGGCTTTTCAGTACCAATCTGGATAACATTGTAGAAAATACACACAATTCATTCATGAATAACGATTTTTTATGTCTATCTACTTTTTTATTTATGATCTACTTATGTCATCGATGACATCGTAATGACATTCATTCACCTATTTGATTAAATCCCAGCCAATGGGAATCTTATTTGAATTGAAGGACTTATATTTTTAGGAGTGATTAATTTTTTGGTAAAGAAAGCTTTTGGCTTTCTACTGCTGCATCTTGATACAAAAAAATGTGGGAAATCTTTCAAAGAAAGGAAGGAAGTAATCAATTTGAAAATAAGTAACTCTATACATGGATGTGTAGATCATGAAAAGAAGTAACATTTAGACACAAACTGGAAGAAAGCACTTCTGAAATCTTTATATCCTGAAATTCCAAATTATCTTTATTATATCGAGTTTAACTAGAGATGTGATGGAACTGCACGCTGTATCCTTGAAAAAACAAAAATGAATTTAAGAGGGAAGGTATGGCAAGGTACTAATAAATTGACTTCATATTTACACAGTAACTTATAGGACTGAACTGAAATGTTTGTCCTTTCTACCGGTGTATTCTGATATAAGTTGGAATTCTACCTTACGAGAGATTATATAACATTCCGCAAGTTGACAAAGGAGACAATTTTTGTTTGAGAATCATCTTTTTAGATGTGCTTTCTTGTTAAATTTTGATTTCACCTTTCGAATATTTTCGCTTATTGCTTTTGTTTTACTGTCATGTTATATTTTTACACAGTTATTTGTTTTGTAATATAAGCCTAATCTGAAGCTTCTTCAGGATAGTTGAAAGGCCTTCAGCCTTAAGTATTAACCTCCTGCCTTGTTCCGGACTGAAACTTAGAAGGAAAACCATCTCGAAAAGGTACACGGTGTAATTAGGTTTCAAAAAGACCGGCTTTCGTACGATCGGGACGAACCCTACATCTTTTTCGGACCTGCCTTGATATTCAAAATTTGATGTGGAGAAATCCGCATCCGGTGACAGCCGCTGACAAATTGATTTCAGAAAATAAATGAATCATAAATTAGCATTTATTACACTAAAAACGGTCGGTATATTAATAGATATAACCATATACACATATGTATATTGGTTATATTACATGAGCATGCTTGGACTCAACATAACATCAAGTGTTCCGAGTAGCAATCGTTCACAAGGAGGAACGCTGGTTTGAAAGGAAGTTTGAAGAAATTGCGTGCACGTTGGACAATTACGCATTTAGCCAGTTCAATGCGCAGATCAACAACGTATGGAAACCCTCGATTAAGCAGAAAACGGGCTACTGATGAAACGCACTTCATTGATGAATAAGCTTGACAGAACGGGGTTTTGTTTTGGTAGTGGTACAAACAATTCATCTTTGAAAGTGCGCTTATTGGGACCATATTGAATAAGTATATTTCAATTATTGTATTTGATTTCTCCATCGTAATAATGAAATATTTTAATTCGATAGGTATATTCATTCTACTTTCTGGAACGTAGTCAAATATTGAACCAACTGATCGCATCTCTCTTATTCAACAGTGGCGCCTACTAAAAATATAAGTAAACTCTTACAAAATTACTCTCTTTTGAGATTTTTTTGTTCTTTGCACTGAATAAACTTTTTTCATTTGATTACTTTTCTTCTTTTTCAGATTGAGGATGACGCTTTCGAAGGTTTGGACAATCTTGAATTTCTGAACCTGAAAGACAACAATATTCTCCTGATCCCTGCCTCAGCTTTAGGTCGCTTACCGAGACTCTCATCATTGCAATTAGACTACAATCGCGTCGCGGCCTTATCGGCCGATATATTGCGTTCAGTGGCCGACAAAGTAACTAAATTGATTATTTCAAAGAACATTGTTCGTGAACTACCTCCTGCATCGTTCCAATACTTTCAACAGTTGCAAACGTTGGATCTGTCCAGAAACTTGTTGAATTCCCTGAATGCCGAGGCATTTACAGGCCTTGAAAATACTTTGATTGAATTGGACTTATCTCAAAACAGGATTACCAATCTGGCCGGGGCACCGTTGGCTTTATTGAAAATTGAGAAACTTGACCTCAGTGACAACCATCTTACTGAAATATCAGCCAACGCTTTCAGTATGGTACCAACTTTACAACATTTGAATCTCAGTAGAAATATTCATTTGGGCAATATCCCTGTAACACTCCTTCATAAGCTTCAAGAGTTAAGAATCCTAGATATGACCCAAGGAGGCGTTAAATCACTACCAGCAGAATTTTTCAGAATGTCAAAATCGATTCAAGAAATATATTTAGCTCACAACAGAATACAAGATCTTGGAGAGGGAGTCTTTAGCAATTTTGCCAACATTAGCTCTATAGATTTATCTTACAATAACATCACAAGCATAAAACCTGGTGCTTTCGTGAACGTCATGAATATGAAAAAACTGATCTTGAGAGGAAACCAGCTGAGCTCTTTTAAAGGGGAGTTTTTCAACACTGGTACCAGCTTGGAGGTGATAGATATTTCCGAAAATCAACTGAGCTACCTGTTTCCATCTTCATTTCGCATTCATCCGAGACTGAAAAAGATAATTGCCTACAATAATAAATTCAACTTTTTCCCAGCAGAGCTCATAGCCCACTTGCAATTCTTAGAGTACGTGGACTTGTCCCAGAATCAACTGAAAACGTTGGAGGAGCTGGATTTTGCAAGGTTGCCTAGACTCAGAACACTTCTTATTGCTAATAATCAACTAGAGTCTGTAAGCGATATGGCTTTCCACAATTCTTCCCAACTTCAAGTACTCGATCTGAGCGGTAATAAATTGGACCGGCTTGGAGATAGAACCTTTGAAGGTCTAGTTCGTCTGGAATTACTGAACCTGGAGAGGAATGCCCTGGCAGATCTACCAGAGAACATTTTCGAGCGTGTGCGATTACAAATGCTGGAAAACATAAATTTAGCGAGGAACTTATTCGAAATAGCTCCTTTGAAATCTCTGCAAAGACAATTCTTCTTTGTATCTTCGGTGGATTTATCTTATAATAAAATTCGGGAGATTCCCACAGATGATAGCATTATGGTTAATATAAAAAAGTTGGACTTGTCTTTCAACCCGTTAGTAGAAAAAACTGTTACAAATATTCTTGGTGAACCCAAAACGATACGGGAACTGAATCTAGCTGGCACAAATATCAGAAGTATTCCGCGGCTTGAAACGCCCTTTCTGAAGAATTTGAACCTATCACATAATAATATTTCGTCACTGGATTCGCACGTTTTTGAAAGAATCACCTTGCTGGAAGAACTAGACTTGTCTGATAACAAAATATCAGATATTTCCAATTATTCAAAAATTTGGAAGTTACTTCAGAATTTGCAGGGTTTGAATATTTCCAATAATCCAATAGTGTCTATTTCCGATGATGATTTCGCTGGACTGGAAAAATTGAGGTACGTTTTAATTAACAGTAGTTCAAACCTAGACTGTGAAGAGCAGTGTATTGTTAATTGTTTATTATGACTCCGCACTTGACAATATTGATTACAGGTACGAGTACATTGACCTGAATTTTTAGTGGCTTTTCTATTTTTTTTTAGAAATCTGTTTTTTCCGTTAATCAGCTGTCGCCCCCATACGAACGACAACTCTCAGAAATTGAGAAACTTGTGCGAGTTAAGGACTAACGAAGTTTTACCTTTTAACGTGTGATTCCTAACATGGTTGCAGAATCATCCCAGCTTCAACCAGATAAATTCTCACGAGAAAAATATCTGGTCGAGGCGGGAATCGAACCCACGGCCTTCCGATCGTGAGTCGGGCGCCCTACCACCGCGGCCAATTCCACAAGATATATATTCCACTAGTAGATGATGTTTCGGTTTCAACACATTGGAATATTTCATTTTCTAATGACATTTTGCTTGACAAAGTGCCGTTGTGATCGATTTCCACCCGCCGCGCGCCGTCGCAATTAAGAGTTGTTACGTAAGTACTATCGCCACTACCGTGACATTCAGATTGCGAGAGATAAGTCCACAAGATTGATTGTGGTTCAAAGTCACAGGGATCTTCTTCCACAGGAGATTATGAAACTTATTCGCGAGAAACACCGCGCCAGAAAAATGTGGCAAAATACTAGAGACCCTCGATGCAGAGAGCTCATGCTCAGACTTGCTGAGAGGGTCAATCAACGAATAAATGAGTTCACCAATGCTCAGTGGAGGGAGAAACTGGAGAGACCTAACGTTCAGGACAACTCTTTGTGAAGGATGGCACGACGTTTCGACAACAGATACGAGCCCATGCCTACCATAGAGAGAGGCAATGGAAGTTGGGTAACCGACGTTCAGAATATTTCGGCAAATATTTCCATAATGTTCACCGAACAACGCCAGACAGCACCGAAGAGCATAGAAACATCACCGAGACGGCGAGGAGGGTACGTTCAATGCCTCCGCCACGGCTAAACGGTGAAGATCTTGCTAAAATCCTCACCGACTTTGAGGAGGTGAGAGACACTATAAAACGCATGCCACTACACAAGGCACCTGGCAGCGATGGCATTGGGGCAATTCTACTCCAGAACCTGCCGCGCAAAGGTCTCGTGCAATTGGTACGTATCATCAACGGGATAATCAGATTGCAACATTACCTAGACTGCATGAAGCGCGCGGAGGTAATACCCATTCATAAGTCGGGAAAACCGAAGAACCAAAGAGAGAGCTACCGACCAATTTCGCTACTTAGCTCGGTCGCCAAGATTGCGGACAAGATCCTATTGAGCAGACTTCTCCGTCTGGGGAAAAGGCTGAAACTTATTCCCGGAGGAATAGTTTGGATTCAGGCAGGGTCGTAACACGACATCCCAACTTGTCCGACTGGTCCACGGAATAAAGGAGGCCTTTCACCAGAAGAAGAATACAGTCATGGTCCTGTTGAACATACATAAAGCCTTTGACACCGTTTGGACAGGGGAATTCATCGCGAAAATGTGGACGGCACACATGGCTTTATACATGATAAGAATCTTGGATTCTTATCTGGTCAACCGGAAATTTAGGGTTAGAATACACCAAGCTAGCTCTACGGATTTTTCAATGGAGGCAGGTGTTCCGCAGGGGTCCTGTTTATCCCGACACCTATACTCTCTGTATACATATGACTTTCCAATGTTCGCAAAAACGAATGTAGGCATATATGCAGATGATACTGCCATGTATATGCCCACTCTTACTCTAGTGAGGTGGCAACACGCACATGGCATATGCCACATGGAGAGGAATAAGATAAGGCTAAATCCGTCAAAGACTGAACTTGTCAATTTCACGAAGAAATTCACCGACGTGAAGATCTTCAGGAAAATGACGATTCATGGAAAGTGTGTGGAAGAACAGAAAAGTGCGAAGTATCTGGGAGTTATCCTGGAGAAGCACTTGAATTTTCATGAGCACTTGAGTCTGGAGACTCATGACGATGCAGAATAAGGTGCTTCGTATCGTGACTGACAATGATCGATACATTTCACTGGAACGTTAACGAGACATAGCGAAGGTCAATCCGATTACGGATTTGATCCGAAGGCTTGCTTACAAACACTTCAAGTGTTTTCTTCTTCCGAAAAGTCCGCTGACTAGTAATATCACGGCTGTTAGAGTTTATCATAATCAACCACGCCGTCACGGTGGGTTGCTTTATGAAGCACTCGATATTTTCCATGAGCGACATGTAAATGACCGTTTGTAAGTTAATGAAAAAACTGGCATAGAAAACTTCCTGTAGACATTCTGTCCTGGGTTTTTCATGAACTTTTTCCAGGGGTACCCAGCTAACCAACACATCGACAGAGCTGTTTTCATTTGAATGACCTGAATATCAAAACCATGTAATGATGTGCATAAGCCTTAGCGGCAGGAGGCACATTACCTAGTCGTTTTAATAAAGTCTGTGTTTCTGGGTGAGCATCAACCCGCTAACATCGCGGGGGACGTTCCCCACCCACCGCCTCCTCTCGGCGGGGACGCGAGGGCGCGCCTGTCTGGAGTCATTTTGCTACTCTACCCTTGAGGTAGAGGTACTCATGAAATGTAGGCATGTAAATAGTTTATTTTAATAAAAAAGATTTTTGCTTTTTGCTTGCCACTATCGTGGCGTATGTTTCTTCTTCTGTTGATTCGTGAAAAAGTAGTGATATGGTGGGCGAAATGTATAATGTTTTTATTTTTTTTCAACATAACAAGAATATTTATTTATTCTCAAGACACTACAATGGTTTAGACAGGGAATGTATATAAGAAATATATAACTTTGAGAAGAGCTGATCCACGCTAATTGATAACAGAAACAAACAAATATAATGTAAATTAATCCAACAAATACTTCTTTGAAGCCATTTCGAATATTTTTGTGTGGTAATTCATTATAGGCAATTATTTTTTGGTAAAATATAGATTTTCTAGAGAATGCCAATTCGGGAATTTTTGTTAACAGATTATTGGTTTGATGATCATGTTCATTTCTATGTTCTATAATTTTCATTATCGAATGTTTTTTATTCTTTATAACTGACGGCATAGTGGTGCACACTTCTGATTTATAAATAGAATTGATATAGAGTAAACGTTCTGGTTCATATATATTTCAGTTGATTCTGGGAAAGGATTTTATGTTGTAAATTCCTCAAAAGGTTCAAAGTTGTGTTCAAAGTAGTTCTCCATACACTAATCAAGTACTGTGATTTCGAATAAAGGATTGATAAGGAAATTAACTTCATATGCTTTAAAGAAATAAGTGAAATAGTATCCCAATGATTAATGCTAACTTTTTTGGAATTACATCGATCTAGATATTCCATGAAGAATCTATCTATATGTAAACCTAAGAACTCAACACTAGCGAACCAAAATTTTGTTGTGTGCAATGGAGAGTTTACAAGAATTGTGACTTATTTGCGGAATTACCATGGACAGATATATCATTCAATAACACGTGCAAATAATAATGGCGCGCGTCGCCCATTTTACCAACTTAGCCAACTTAGCCCATGCATTGGTCAAATTCAGCCTGATTTATGCGCCAGAGTCATGTGAAGTTGGACCCTGGAAGTTTTCCAGGATGAAATAAAGATCCAGTGAGAATTCAGCCAACTACAGTTGTTCAATTTCAGTTTTAATATCCCAGAACTATACAGGGTGTATCTAAATAAGTGTAAAACATTTGAGGAGGTTCTTTCTCATCGAAAAAAGATAGGATCTTTCATATAAAGAAATTTCATTGGATCATCCCTTGTTAAAATACAGCCCCTCAAAGGGGGTACATAAAATTTGTATAACAATTTTTTTCACAAGCACTGAAAAAGTAACAAAACCTGACGTTTTGTAC